CTCCTCCCATCCACTCTAACAGCCCATGATGGCGCCAGGCCCCAAGCTCTCCCAGACATCTCGGGGCTTGTCTGCTTGCTCCTCCCATCCACTCTGACAGCCCATGATGGCGCCAGGTGACACTGCCTACACCACGTAGACCAGGAGAGAAGGCTTGAGCCATAGCCAGTCTGAGTGTCGGCAGATGCCTCATGATCCTCCCAGCACAGTAGGCACAGGAGACTTGTAGGAGCTGCGATGGTCCATTTCCCACTGGCCTCCCTGGGTCCCCCCGGGAGGCTGCCACCGGACAGCTTCTCACGTCCTTCTGGGCCGATGAGGGATGAGGCTTCCTGCCTGGCCCTGCGAGGGGCCCAAAAGTGCCGGGAAGCAGCTTCCAAGTGGCCCCTCAGCAACAAGGCTGCAGATACCTGGCCCCGTGTTCTTAGTGTCACCTGCACAAGGACTAGCCTGCTCGCCCTTCTACTGTCTAGGTCAGGATGGATTAACCAGCCTGAATCTGAAAAGGACTCGCCATGTCTTCACCTGCAGAATCTGTCAGCCCTCGCCTTGTCTTGCACTGGACACATGCACCCAGCGCTCAAATACTCACTACCCTGCGAACCCCCACGTGATTGAGAACTCAACTTGAAACTTGATGCGCGTTTCAAGAAATAGTGTGTGAGGTGAAATAAAATTGGGCTTGGAAGTGCACAGGAGAATAGGAAAAATAAAATGGAGCCAGACCTTAGGTTAGGCATAAAATTAGAGTACCGCATTTGAGAGGTGCACCAAATCCTTTTTGGAATAGGGCAACTCTGTACACTTGCGATCTGTGGCCTGTGAATTTGGATCTGACTTTTCTCACAGAAATTAGGAACTGTTAATGAGTGCTTGGTCCCAAGAGAAAACCTCTGATATCTAGATGATTAAAAATAAATTTAGGGAAAGGTAAATAAACTCACTCTGAGTCTTCAAAACCTGGATTAGCTCGCTCTCTCTCTGCAGTCATCTACCCAGTTAGACAGAGCTTTTTCACACATACAAAACCCAGTCTTCTCTCATGGGGCCTCCATCCTCCCTGTACCATCAACACCTGTGAATACCTGGCTATTTAGATAAAAGGTTTCATTCGCTAAGCGAGAAAAGGTCCTATTTATTATATCCATTCTTTGCTTTCAGCGTGTTAGGATGGCTTGTGTGCTAGAAGCTGCGCATTCTAAGTTAGGTAAAGCCTAAAGAATTTAAATCAAAAGTTCTATATATGAGAAAGGGCCACTAGGCTTGATACAAATATGTAAGCTATTCGGTCAGTCCTGTTCGAACCCTATTAATGATAATAAAGGTGTCAAGGGCCCTGGAGGAAAGCACTGTGGCAGATTGCTCTGGCCTGGGCCCAGCTGCCTGCTAACCTCTCCCTCCTTCCCCATAGGCAACCCTCCCGCTACTGGGACCGGAACTTTGCTGATCACTCTGGAGGACGTGAACGACAACGCCCCCTTCATTTACCCCACAGTCGCTGAAGTCTGTGATGATGCCAAAAACCTCAGCGTCGTGATTTTGGGAGCATCAGATAAGGATCTTCACCCAAATACAGACCCTTTCAAATTTGAGATCCACAAACAAGCTGTTCCCGATAAAGTCTGGAAGGTCTCCAAGATCAATAGTAAGTCGGGTTACACGTTCTGTGGCTGTTCCTCTGGCTTTGAAGCCGCATTTCCCTGGCTTGTCTTCCTTTTCACACTGTTCCTCCCTCCTCCTCTCTCCTTTCCTCCATGCTCTGCATCCTATGCTCTCCATCCTACGCTGTGTACTATGCATCCTGTACTCTCCATCCTATACCGTACACTCCATGCTCTGCATCCTATGCTCTCCATCCTACACTGGTAGAACAGTCTTTGTAGAGTCTTAGCCTCTAACCCTCCATCTTGCCCTTTACGTGGGAGACTTCCTCAAAATTAGCTTTATCTTTGCAACAACCGTGGCTTTGATGTTCAACCGTGATATCATCGCACATCTGTCCTGTCCCTGACCTATGAGACTTGCAAGCCATGTCCCTTTCTACCAGTCTTTTCATGTGGGAAGGTGGAATTCAAAACTGGGCCTGACATTTTCCATACGTGCTCAATTCAGCAGCATCCCTGTATCCACAAGCACGTGCTTCCCTCCCTGTGGCAAATGTGAACTCAACTCTGAAGTTCACCTTGTTTTGCAATAAAGTAAAAAACCAGAACCCACGCACTGGACGCACACTCTCTCCAGCAGTGAACTTCCCCTGCAACTGACCCAGCCAGGGTACCCTCCTCATCCACCAGCAGTAGAATTTTCGAGAGGGATTGGAAATTACTAATTTCATTAAGTCTTGAAAATGGGTTGTACAATTGTGCATAAAATTTTCTATTAAAAAATCTCATATGTATTGAATGGCCTTATCTCATATCTCATTTTACAAGAGCCTTCCTCTTGTTATTGATTCCATTTGCCTGTTTGTCTATTTTATTGCTTTTTAAAGAATGAGTTCTGTTATGCTGATTACTTTTAATTAAAACAGCCCTCCTCTTGTCTGAGGGGTTAGCACGCTTCCTTTGCTAGTTTTTGTGGCTACAGCAGACTGGAATAACCACCACCGGCTCTTTCCAGAAAGTTCCAGCTGGAACTTTCTTACTCAAGTTTCTCGTCCACACGAGTGAGATGGGAAGATTGTTCCTTGCATTAACCCGTCACGCAACTGCAGTGACTACACACGTTGGTTATTTCTGCTGCTTCTCCTTCTGGTCAGGATGACACTTCATCTGTTTCTGTTTTCATGTTATTGCTCTGTTTTCCTCATGGTTTTATTTAAGAGACAGCTGACTTTTCAGTTCTTTTCCTGGTCCCAGTTTTGGTATTTTTTTTAATACCTAGCACTGTTCATGCCCAGAAAGGGGAGAGTCAAAAAAAAAAAGGGGGGGGGTGGCACCTGGGTGGCTCAGTCAGTTGGGCTCGGGTCATGATCTCAGGGGTGTGAGGCTGAACCCCGTATCGGGCTCCACATTCAGTGCGGAGTCTGCTTGAGATGCTCCTTCTCCCTCTGCCCCTTCCCCCACTCATGGGCTCCCTCTCTCTCTCTCTCTCTCTCTCTCTCTCTCAAAAAAAAAAAAAAAAATCACTAGTCATCTGAGTTACTGAAAAGAGAATAGCCCGAGGCTAAACACAGGGTCCAGGTGGGGTGGCCACTTTTGCATGCTGCCCAAGGCCAGGCTCACAGCACACACTCCCAGCAAACAGGGGCCGAAATCTCAGTGCCCCTGCTGGGGTGGTGTGTCACATTCCCACCCAGATCCAGGGCTGTGGCTGAGGACCAATAAAGCTGTAGGCTATGGAACCTGTCCCCATGGCCACATCCAGGGGTCATGTCCACGTTTAGACTGAGTGGATGGTTTTGGAGTGGTTGGGTTTTTTTTTTTCCTTTTGGTCTAAGAATTTATTTTGATTATTTGAATTTGGATTCTTAAATAAAAATGCTCTCAGCTGATCATTTCATTTTTTTCTCTTTTTTACTTTTTTCCACCTTCATTGATGTGTAGTTAACAGATAAAAATTGTATATAGTTAAGGTGCACACTGTGACGATGGGAAAATGGGTTTTTAAGTCATTTTTTCCGGATGTCGAATGTGATCTTGGCAAAGATAGTTTTATCGGTGTAATAAATCTGCAGGGAGGAGTTCTTAGTAGGCAGTCACCTTCACAAAAGTGGGTCCCCTTGAAATAGATTATCACAGCACTGAACCACAGGACTCCTTGGCCATGGAATGTTCTATCCGGCACCATCGGATGCCACAGCCACCAGCCACACGTGATTGCTGGACATTTGAGGTGTGGTTAGCACAACTGAGGAGATGAATTTGAATTTTTAAGGAATTTAAGTTTAAACATGCCCATGGTTATAAACCAATACGCAATGCCTGATTGGTGTGGTTTTCATCGCCAAAACCTGACCCTTTTATTTGGGAAAGTCTAACCCTCTCTCACGAAGGTCCTCCTTGTCTCCCTCAGATACGCACGCCCTGGTAAGCCTTCTTCAAAACCTGAACAAAGCCAACTACCACCTGCCCATCATGGTGACAGATTCAGGGAAACCACCCATGACGAACATCACTGACCTCAGGGTACAAGTGTGCTCCTGCAAGAACTCCAAAGTGGACTGCAACGCGGCGGGGGCCCTGCACTTCAGCGTGACCTCAGTCCTGCTCATGTCCCTCTTCAGTTTGGCTTGTAAGTAACCCAGCTCTGGCACATGCACGAGTGCGAACACCTAACTTCCCCCAAGCCCCTGTTTCCCATAGAGCTTTCCAAAAAATTCATTCCCGAGGAAGCGTTCATTCTTGGTTTATGTCTGTATAATAGTGTTTCGTGTAAAAGTGTTCCAACTACTGTTGGAAGGCGTCTTCACATCCCCCCGCCAGCCAGTCTGGGGAATTGTGCAAAGACATTCAGGGCAACCCACAGACCAGGTAACGAGAAAATGCCCTGCTGATGACACCAAATTTAGGCTAATAAGAACGTGCCACATTAGGGAACTGGTCTACCAGGGCCTTATTTCTCTCTGCATTGTGCAGAAGAATCTTTGGCAAGGTTAAAGTAGGTAGTCTGCCTTTTTAAGAACAGTCGTGAGAATTCACGGAGGGAGGCTGGGCTGTAGGAAAAGAGATAAATGCATAATTCATACTTTTTTTTCCCGCTGACTGGTAGTAATGGCTGTAATATAATGAAGCGTAATTTTAAACAAATGAATTGTTATGCTGAGTAATATAAAGTGAGCATAAAATGAATAGATATGTGTATCAGATATTTCCTATGCATGGAGTACTAGCCCAACGTTAACCTTAGCAATTACGCACATGTAGGTAATGCCATTCACATCTTCTTGGGCTTTGGTATTTATATTTTGAGAAGGTTATCAGTGTAAGTGTGAATTGGGAACTTGAGAAATTGCTGATTGGGGAAAAAAAGGAACAGAAGTTATGACTTCCCGGTGACAGTGGTAAGTGGGATCAACAGGAAGTCACACATTCCAACCTCAGACATTTACTGTGTATAAAGCTCTGTGCTGGGCCAGCATCCTGGGGCAGAGCTAAGGAGAACATCTTACAATGAGAAGTGTCTCTTTGGATGGATGAATGGGATGGAAGGACAAATGGGTGGATGGAAGGATGGATGGATGGATAGAAGGACGGATGGATGGACGGATAGAAGGATGGATGGGTGGATGGATGGATAGAATGGATAGATGGATGGATGGATGGTTGGATGGATGGACAGATAATGATGGATGGATAAATGGAAAGAAGAAAGGATGGATGAAAGAAAATATACTCTTCCCTTTCTTTTCTTCTCTTTTTCCTTCTTTTTTTCTTTCTTTTTCCTTTCTTTTCAAAAAATAAACTATTACAGATAAAGGTGAAATCCCCTATATTTTTCTCCCCAGTTTCATTTCCTATTCTTTCTCCCCAGAGAAAATACTATAATGACTTAGAGTGTTCCAGATGGTATTTTTTTTATTTTTTAAACATTTTTATTTATTTATTTGAGAGAGATTGTGTGTACACACATGCGTAAGGAGGAAGGGCAGATGGAGAAGACTCTGCGCTGAGCAGGGAGCCTGACTCGGGGTTTTATCTTGGGCTACTGAGATCATGACCTGAGCCCAAAGCAGATGCTTAACCGACTGAGCCATCCAGGTGCCCCCAGATGTTATTTTATATGTTTACACACACACACGCACGCACACACACACACACACACGCACACACACCACTTATAGTTCTATTTTGTGCAGCTTATAAAACTTTATGTAATTCATGTTATCCTGAGCATGATGTTCTGTAACTTGCTTTTCTTCCTCCCCACACTGCATTTCCAAGGTACTTCTATGTTCTTCTAATTTGGGGGTTGGCAAACTTTTACCAGAAAGGGCTGGGCAGCAAATATTTTGGGCTCTGTGGACCACATCAGCTTTGTCACATATTCCTTTTTATTGCTCTTTTGTTGTTGTTTCTCTCTTTTGTTTTTCCCCACTCTTTAAACATGGGAAACCATTCTGAGCTCAAGAGCCGCACAAACACACTCTAGCCCAACAGCTGTAGGTTACCCCTGCCCCAGTCCTTTCATTTTAACTGATACAGAGAATCTGTCATATGAACACTGTGCAGTGTATTCCCCAGTCAACAGACACATCAGGATTATTTACAATGTCCTTCTCTGATCAATTCTATTGCAGTAAACATCTGGAATCTGTTTTCCACCAGCTTCTCAAGTCAGTGCTGGACAGACAGCAAGCCCAGCACTAGGTGTGGTTTCTAGGAGTCACTGGAACTCACACAGAACAGAGCCTGGGTAAACTAGAGGGCTGTACTTCTTGTGTGACTGTAAAGAAAAAAGTGTGTTGTGCATGTGTCCATGTGTGTGTGTGTGTGTGCACACGGGCACACAAACGTGTGTGTACACAGAGAAAGAGATGGTAATTGAGTGGCCACTCACACATCAGCCTCCATAAACCCAGTTATCACAACATCAAAGCCTGACTCTCAATGACACTTTCTACTCTGGACTGCCAGTGAGTTTTTAAAATGGAGACTTCCTGAACATGGTGGACGAGGAAGTATTTAGTTTGCCGAAGAAATGTAAGAAGAAAAAGGAGCGGAAGTCATCACCAGAAGAAGATGTAGCATAAATACAATACACTGAAGAATTTCTTATCACACGTGAGTCCGAGGTGGCTCAGATGGACACATCTCAGTGGCCCCTGTTGCTCAAGGACTTTAATAAGCTAAATGTGAGGACAACACACTATACACCTCTTCCTTGTGGTTCAAATCCTCTGAAGTGGGAGACTGGGGACTACATTAGGACAGCTTTCATTCATCTTGACAAGCACCTCCAGCCCCTCTGCCCATGAGGTGGTAGCCTGGATCCAGTGGATACTTTGGGTGTAGAAGACAGGATGCAGTGGTGTTCTGGATCCCAATGGGAGTGGCTTGTTGAATCGTGTGCATAGAACAAGCCACTCACTTGTTGAAATCCCAACAGAGTTTATGCAAAGAGTATGTGGGAATTGTCTGGCTACACAGTGCTCTTGAAGGGAGCACTCTACTTTGTGGTGCCCTAGGAACCCTGACAGGTGACTTATTCTAGGGACCCCCACTTATTGCTGCAGGAAAGAGGCAACTCTGAGTGCGGACCATATACAAGAGCAAGATAGTCGAGTATGATCCTGAAAGAAGACTAGGAATCTGGAGTTGTGAGGCCGGAACCTATATTCAGATGCTGTGTGTGCACCTTACTTCATTATTGGGAGTGGGTGGTCAGATGCAGGAACTTCGGAGGGTTCATTCTGGGGTAATGAGTGGAAAGGACCATCTGGTGGCAATGCCCGATGTGCTCGATGCCCAGCGATTGCATGACAGCCACAGGGATGAGGCATATCTGCGGCAAGCTGTTCACCCTTGGAAAAGCTGCTGCCTTCTCATCAGTGGCTGGTGATGAAAGACACTGCAGTGACCACAATCTGCTATGGGGCAAAGATCATGCTTCTAGGGGTTCTTCGGTTTGAGGATGGCATCAAAGTCACTCAGGAGTTGGTGGTCATCACCACCAAAGGGGAAGCAGTCTGCGTGGCTGTTGTATTAATGACCACAGCAGTGATCTCTACCTGGGACCAGGGTATGGTAGCCAAGATCAAGAGAGGAATCATGGAGAGACACACTTACCCTCGGAAGTGGGGTTTAGGTCCAAGGGAAGTCAGAAGACGCTGATGATCAAGCAGGGCCTTCTAGGTCAGCATGGCAAGGCCACAGACAGCACGCCTGCCACCAGGATGCAGGAATATGTGGACCACAGTGACCACAAAGAGAGGGGCACCTCGTGGCTCAGTCGGCTGAATATCTGACTCTCAAATTTGGCTCAGATCATGATCTCTGGGGTTGTGAGACTGAGCCCCACGTTGGGCTCTGCACTCAGCAGGGAGTCTGCTTCTCTCTCTCTCTCCCCCACCTCTCTCTCTCCCCTGGCTCACACATGCACTCTCTCTCTCTCTCAAATAAATAAAAGAGAGAGAGAGAGGTGGTGGCCAAAGTGGTAAAAGCCCTGAAGCGGCAGTGAGAGAGTGAAGAAGGAAAAGAGGAAGAAGAAGGATAAGAAGGCCAAAGCTGCTCTAGAGAGTTGGGCGATCCAGGGGATGGAGATGGTGATACCACCAAAAAGAAGAAGAAGAAAATAAAAGTGGGAGTGGCTTCTGGGTCATGGACATCACTTTAAGCACTGTGCCCAGTTGGGAGGAGAAATTAAAGCCTTCCTGAGAAAACAGAATTCCTTTTGTTCTTGAGAGAACCAGGAAGGGTGGAAAGATCCGGCACATCGTAGCTGCTACCTGAGAACTACCTGATGTTCCCTGCTGTGGTCCTCCCATCCCGTCCTGTTTGAAGGATAAGGGTGAAGGAGGCAGGTTCGATGGGATGCCCTTCTCTGCTTGGGAGAGTTAGGAAACCTCTCCTTCAGACCCAGAACAGCCCAGGAACCATCTGCGGCCATTTCCCGGTGGTTTTTTTTTTTTTTTTAA